ACACTGCTCTGCGTCATCACCATCTGCCTCCCCTGTGGGACCTCTGAGCTGAGACAGGGCCTGGAGGCCTGAGTGCCCACTTCATCCCAGGGACACTGCAGAGCAAACACAAGGGGTTTAACCAAGGCTCGGATGTAGTGCAATCAAAAAATAGGATGGATGTTATAATGGTTTGCGTCTAGATGTCCCCCAAAGCCTTATGGAATCATGGGGACAGGTTTCTAGAGTTTTGTGATTGATTCATGATCCAAGGCTCAGATTTTGGGTGTCAGTGCTACACCCGCCCTAGGGTGAGGAACAGAAAGGAGGGAAAGAGGCTTGTTCTCTTGCTCCTCCCCTTTTGCTCTCCTTGCATTTGCCATCTTCTGCTGCCATGAACTGCTGCTCCTGTGCCACACCACCTGGCTTAGAGCCAGTTGATTATGAACTGAAACCTCCACAAACTGTGAGCTAAATAAACATTTCCTAAGCGCCTGCCTGGCAAGCGTGATGTTGTGAGTTCGATCCCCAGTATCACAAAATAAATAAATAAACATTTCCTTCCTTGATTTTGGGCACTGCGTTTTTTGTCTTAGCAATGAGAGAAAAGGAACCAACACAGATGTTTAAAAAAATTTTTTTACAGGAAAAGACACACTGCTATGAATCCCCTCAGAATCCTCCCCTTGCTTTGCACACACTTATCCCTCCATTCTGGTCACCTTCTGAAGCAGTTCTGGATGTCCTCTCCCCTCCCTGAGGCACACTGTTGGGGCTGCTTGGATGTCCTGAACCAACTCAACACATTCATCATCCAAGGTTTTTCTGACTTAGAGGACGAGCCAAAAGTCACAAAGTACCAGACTGCGTGAACAGGATGGAATAGGACACAGCACCTTGACAAACTGCCATACATCTTTAGAGTCAATTCACGACACTGAGGCAGCCAAGACAGCATGACAAAAGACACTGATGAAAAAGAATTTCCAGAATTACTTCAGAAAAGGGCACATGCCTGTAATTCCAGCACTTGGAGGCTGAGGCAGGAGGATCATTGTGAGTTCAAGGGCAGCCTGGGCTACATAGTGAGTTTAAGACCAGCCTGTGTTTCAAAAAGAAAGAAAGAAAGAAAGAATGAAAGAAAGAAAGAGGCAAGAGTGATAAGATAACTGTCTTCAAAATGAGGGAGACTATGGGGGGGGGCCTTTAATGGCAATGTGTTTTTTATTGTAATAAATTTTATGTTTTAGAATTTAAACATTCACCATATTTTTCAATCACGCTATGTACTCAACAAGCACTCATGAAGTGCCAGCATCAAACTAATGTGAGTCCTCCCAACATTCCTGAGAGGCAGGTGATTCTTACAGATGAGAAGACCACACCTGGCGGGGAGGATGACCCTGCACCTGCACTGGTGGACACAAGCTCACTAAGCGCTAAGCATCAGAACAGCTGCAAGCACAGTGGAGGAACAGCATTTTTATTTTAATTTTAACTCATTAAAGCACAAGTAGTCACAGTAGTATAGTGAGTGTACAGCTCCACAGATCACTCTCTAGAGGCTTCTTAGATACCTAGGCGGGGAAGAGAGAGATTCTCCTCAACCTGAGAGGGTAGGCACCCTGGCGCGACTCTAAGAACACCTCTAGAACTGAGGCTGGACTGACATGGCCCATTCACCCCTCAAGTAAACTCCAGTCCTGATTCTGCCACTTTATGGGTACACAGGGCTGTTCTCTACCCACCGGCTTCTCTGCTGGAAATCCAGTGGGAAGACAGGTGGGATCACGCATATGCCGGTGCTCTCTCAAAAGATGTTTTAGAGAACTCTACACTGCATGGGGACCACTGAGATATGCTCCGTGACCAGCAGGGAATAAGGATAGTGCCTTGGTAGAGGCAGCCACTGCATGAAGGCCAACCATGAACTCCAAGGGCCATCCTGAGCCAGGAGACCATGGAAATGGCATACATTAATATGGCCACTAGGTGCTTAGGAAAGAACCATCTAGGCCTGTATTGGCTTACATCTAAATGAAATCCAGGGTTAAAAAACGAATGTCTACAGATGTTTCACTTTAAGGCCTTGGACATGCCTGAAAACCTGGGCCCTGTGAGTCCCAGTCTCCAAAGCAAAGTGTGGTCTGCTGTGGGGCCCTCACCCATTTCCCGGGGCCACAGGGATCCAGCCAGCCTGCTGCACGCAGTGTTTCCCCACCCTCCGCCCTGCCCTTTCGCCCGCTAAAGCCCTGGCTCCTCATCACAGCAAGGGTCGCGGGCCCTGCCTCCCTCTCCTCTCCCACGCCCTCAGCTCCAGCGCCACGCTGGCCAGCTCCACAGCCGCTCCACAGCTGGGCACATCCCGCCCTCCAGGCCTCCAGCCACGGCCCACACTCCTCTAGAGCCTTCCTCTTGGGCTGGCTCAGGCTGGATCTCTCCTCAGCGGCCCTCCCCACTAGGCTCACTGCCACTCTCCAACATCCAGAGCTACACATTCAACAAATACTTGGTGACAGAGTGGAATACGCGAAGGACTATAAAAAACAGCCCAGGGCTGGCCCCCATTGCTATTCAGGAATCAGACCCAAGGCAGGAGAGGGGCGAGCCCTGACCTCTGGGGAAAGGATGCCCAAGGCCAAGGCAACAGGGCCATTCCGGGAAGAGAAGCAGCCACAGCCCAACTCCAGATCAGGCCTCCAATGGAAGCATTTCCAGGATGACTGAGGCCTATGGGGTGCCAGTTCTGTCTAGAAGAAAAAGCCAAGGGAGAATTCACTATAAAACCTACGATGACCCTAGTAACAGCAGCCACAGAGGTAATACCAAGCTTTTGCTTTTTTTTTTTTTTGAAGCAGGGTACCAGACACTAAACCCAGGAGCTTTTGCATACTAGCCAAGTGTTCTATCACTGAACTACACCCTAGTCCTTTTTATTTTACTTTGAAATAGAGTCTCACTAAGTTGCCCAGGCTGGCCTAGAACTTTTGATCCTGCTGCTTCAGTCTCCTTATTAGCATAAAAATTTGGGAAGGGCTATTTTACAAAGGCAGCTTGATGGGGGGGACTGAGATAGAACTGCCATGTGCTATGTACATGTACCAATTTCTCACAATGAATATAATCATTATGTAAAGCAAACGTGTACTAATAAAAATAAAATTTTAGCCAAGCATAGTGGTGCATGTCTATAATCCAGCAATTCAGGAGGCTGAGGCAAGAGGATCACCATAAGTTTGAGACCAGTCTGGGCTACATAGTGAGATCTAGGCCAGCATGGACTACATAGCAAGACTCTGTCTAAAAGGCCAAAAAGTAAAAATTAAAAAACAACAACAACAACAAAAAAGATTAATACCATCAGTCAGAAGACATAGATAACTCATGTACTTCCTGTTATGATGTGATTAGAAAGACATTTCATCTTTTTTCTTGAAAAAAAAAACTCAGTAGAATATGCAAGAAAAACAAGCAAATAGAAAACCAAACTGAGGAGTATTCCACAAAATATCAAGTCAATAATCTCCCAAACTCAGTGCCAACAAATACAGGAAACTGCCTCTGATCAGGGAGCCAAATGAGACATGACAACCCAATACACTGTGGGATCCTAAACTGGATAATAAAACATATAAAGAACATTACTGAAAGTAATCAATGAAAGCCAAACAAAATCTTAATAGCAGTTAAAGAAAGGCAGCATGACCTTGGATCCAGCTGGGTTCAAATTTCGTATCTGTCACTTACTAATACTTTGACTTGAGGCAAATGCAATAGCCTCCTGGTGCCTTTGTTTCTTCGCCTATAAAATGAGGAGACTGGCCCGGGAACCCAGGCTCAAGGAGGACTAATGAGGGCAGATGTGTTCAGCTCTGGAGCTATGCCCAGCACAGAGAAGCTGCTCGGCTAACTACTCTTAAGAACAACACTGGCATGCCTGAAATCTCAGCACTTTGGGAAGCTAACACAGGAGAATCCCAAATCAAAGCACAGCCTGGACAACTTAGTGACTTATCAAAACCTTGCCTCAAAATTAAAAAGTAAATAGGAATAGTGACTCATGCCTCAAATCTCAGGATTTAGGAGGCTAAAACAGGAGGGTCATCATAAGTTTTAAGCCAGCTTGGACTATATAGTGAATTCAAGTCAGCCTGAATTACATAAGAAGATTCTGTCTCAAAAAATTAATTAGGCCAGGTGTGGTGGTGGCACATACCTGTAATCCCAGCACTTGGGAGGCTGAGGCAGGATTGCCCCAAGGCCAAGGCCAGCCTGAGCTATGGTAAATTCCAGTCCAGCCTGAACTGCATAGTGAGAAGCTATCTCAAAAATAAAGAACAATCCCAGCACTCGGGAGGCTGAGGCAGGAGGATCGTTGCAAGTTGAAGACCAGCCTGGGCTACAAAGTAAGCTCAAGGCCAGCTGAACTGCATGGCAAGACCCTGTCTCAAAAAGACAAAAAAAAAAAAAAAAAAAGGTAGTAATAAAAAATTTAAATTTAAATTTTTTTTTTTGTCTTTTTCCTTTTTATCAGTACCAGGGATCGAACTCACGACTGCCTGCTTGCAAGGCAGGCGCTTATGCCACTGAGCTAAATCCCCAACCCCATATAATTTAAAAATTTTTAAAAGGGCTGGGCTGTAGCTTAGTGTGAAGGCCCTGGGTCCAACCCTTAATACCAAAAAAAAAAAAAAAAAAAAAAAAGCAAGAGAGAGATTAACACTGGTATGCTATGTGCCTCTCTATGTCTATTTCCCATTTACAAAAACAGGGTGATGACACTGCCCACACTGGAAGCTGCGAGCAGGTTTACAGCAGTAACACATCAGGGGTGCTTAAAGCGGCTCAGTGCACAGCCCGCCCAGGCAGGCACCTCAGCTAACCAATTCCCGACACTCCCAAGGCTCCAGCCTCAAACCCACTCTTGGCAACTGACAAGCACAGGATGGCATCCCCAGAACGCTCCTCTGCTCTCAGGGACCCAGCAGGCCCAGCCTAACCGGCAGCAGCATATCACGCACCTTTTCAGGACACGGTGCTTTCTAACACAGCCTCATCTTCAGGTGAGCAAGCTGCACTGCAGAGATGGACCAGGGCTCCCTGGGTTCCTCGGTGAGGGGCGCTGGAAGGGGGCTCTCCACTATCAGGCAGTCCAATGGGGGAGGGTACTGAAAGCAGGCCGGATGGGAACAAGGCAGTGGCAGCTGCCTGTTCACAAGGGTCCACAAGGTAGCAAATCGAGAAAAGTCTGATTGCAGGCCTCACCCTCAGGAACATCTGCGGATGGGACGAACTTTCCAGGCAGGACGGCTGGGCTGGAAGGACTTCCTGCAAGGACCTCTCTGACATGCAGTCTCCTCTTAGCTGGACCTGGCTTGCTGTCCCTACTTGGCGTGCCCAGGGAACCCAGGCCCTGCTGTGGGTGCCGAGGTGGCAGTGGGTCCTACCCCAAAGGGACTGGACTGAGATCCCACCCTGCGCCCCTCCCAAGCGCCCTCCCTTCCTCCTGGTCCTGCTCCCAGGCGTCTCCCCCAGCTGGGCCTCTCGCTGCTTGGCTGGCTGTCCGTAAGAGCCTGCCACGGAACCACCCTACCGTGCAGCCCAGAGGCCTGGTGACTGAGAGCCTTCTGCTAAGAGCTCTGGGAAGCTGAAGAGAGGCACAGAGAGGGGTGTCACTGGGTCCTCCAGAGGCCTGAGATCTACTGCAGAAGGAGGTGTTCCTTCCCGACATCACAGCCCAGAGGACTTCTGGAGACTTCAGGAGGCTTGTTCTGAGGGGACTCTGCTTCTTCCAGTACAGTACCCCCATAGAAGCCGCAAAAAAAAAAAAAAAAAAAAAAAAAAAAAAAAAACCGCAGGACTCTAGTTTACTGTACTATGACTTAGGGACAAAACTCATAGGTGTGATTAGAAGTCACTATCACCTAGAGTAACAAGAACCTTTGTGCATTGGGGAGACCCTGGTACCAGACCACTCAAATTCATTACTTGGCCTCAACGCTTCCTGAGCAGGTTAGAGTGTCTCACCATCATCAAGTGGGAATCACAGCCAATGCTTTTATGTCCACAGGTCACCCAGGCCCTGTCACAGCTCCTTCATGGCACTCCAGGCCCTCTCCACATCATCTCCTTAGGGAAACCCTCCTTGATTATTCAGCTAAAGGAGAGGAACATCCTTACCCTTTTTACTCCCCCTCACCCCCAACTGGGAAGACAGTCTCCATCAGTGTAGCTGCTGCTCCACACTACTAACTGCTACCAGCCCAGCCAGCTGCGCTGGGAAGGGATGGCAGCAATCAGCCCACAGAGCTGCCCACCCCTCTCCCTAAAGGTACCAGCCCTGGGCTCTGGGGAACAGAGTGTGAAAACCACAGAAAAGGCAAGTGACCACTGGGCCTCTGCCAGCTGTAAGGCAGTGATTCTGCTCAAGGGGGAAGTGACAGGAGTGTAACACTCTGTCCCTGAGCAGAAGCCTGGGAACTCAAGGGCAGAGTGACTTTCTGATACCCAAAATCTGACCAGGTTGCTCCCACTCAAACTGCAAACTCCTTTTCTAGCAGTCAACAAGGCTCTAAGGGACCACGCTCTCCCCACCCTCACCTGGCGCCCCTCACTTGCTATGCCCAGCCATACAGGTCCCTGTGCAGCCAGCCCCTGCACCTACCGGGCTGGGTCCTCCCTTCAGACCTATGTGCTGTGGATCCCCAGCCATGACTGCCCTGACTTATTCTGCCCAATCAGGCAGCTTTCTCTACCATGCCATCTAAAGAAGCTCCCTGTCAACCCCTAGAACCAGGCCTCAATTCACTGTCTCATGTCATTCAGAACCATTCCCTGCTCCTGCCATTTGCTTTTTTTCACGCTGTTCTATCCTTGTCTCCAGGAAGACAGAGATTCTGACAACTGCACCCACTTCCAGCACCTGATACAATGCAGGCACATAGTGGTGCTCAACAAGTGGTGGCAGATGGCTAGGGCTCAATGGTATAGTGCTTGTTTAGCATACACAAGGCCCTGAGTTCAACTCCCAGTACCACCAAAATCAGTCAATCAATCAACCAATCACTAAGTGCTGACAGATAAATGAAAGCCTTTCCCAGCTCCACAGTGTCCTCAGGATGAAACCCATACTGGTCACATGGACCCAGCAGCCCTACCCTCTGCCCAGTCCCACCTTCTGCACTGCTGAAGGGGCTGCAGAGATCCCACAAAAGTATATGGAGGAAGGACACAGAGCACAGAGCCTAACATATGGAGAGAATCCATAATGTCCACCTTGCCAGGCATGGTGACACATACCTGTAATACCAGCACTTGGGAGCCTGAGGTAAGAGGATCACTCCAAGTGATCTATGGCTCCATAGTAAGTTCAAGGCCAGCCTTGTGAGAGAGGATACCTCGGTTCTGTAACGTAACTGACTTCCACTGAGACTGCCGCAGTGCCAGGCATGACTGGAGGAATTTCCTGTGGATTAACCCACTGAATCCTCACAAGAGCCCAAACTGGGTGCCTTTCTCAGCCCACAGCATGGAGCTGAACACCGTATGCTAAGGTCACACAGCCAGAAGGTGAAAATGCCAGCACTCACACCCATGCCATTTACATCCTGCCTTGACTGCAAGCCCCAAAGCTGTGTCACCCTTGCAGAGCTCTCTCTGTCTCTTCCTCCTCCCAGCACACACCTGGGCAAGGCTAAAAGAAGTTCTAGCTCAATTCTGAGGCGACACTAAGTTTCCCCAGCAAACCCAGAAATACTGGACAGGCCACAAGCAGAGCACTCATGGTAGCCCCAAGCTCAGGAACAAAGGGAAGGAATCAAGGAGACAGAATACCATTCCAGCCTGGGACCTAGTAGGCAAAGAGTATGTGGTAGGTATCAGAGCCTAATGAACATGAGTTCGAACCCAAGCCTGGCCTCTGAGGGTCCTAGGGAAAAGTCAATTCCTCCTCCAACACTTAATGTCTGACTGCAAAACGGAGACAAACACCAAATACCCAAGCCCAGGGTCAGACAGAGTATCTGCTCATAAACAAAAGCCACTGCCCCAGCCACCCATTAACAAGCGGACCACTCAAAAGCACAAATGGGCAAAGAGTTCACATCATAGTTTGACCACTTCCAGACTTGGGAGGAAATAATTTCATCTCACAGTGAGTGCCTTGGTTTCCTCATCTGTGAATGGGTATCACTCTCCTATCTCACTAACAGGACTCTACGAAATGGGAAAAACTGAAAGTGTAGTTTTTTGTTTTGCTTGGTTTTGTCTTGAGACAGGGTTTCCCTATGCAGCTAGGCTGGCCTTGAGATTACTGTGTAGCCCAGTCTGGTCTTGAACTTGCAACAATCCTCCGGCCCCAACCCCCTGAATGCTGGGATTACAGGCATGCGTCCAGCAAAGGGTGAATGTTCAAGAAACATAGACTGTCTACTAACTGGAAATGATGTCTCTCTGTGCCTCGATTTCCTTTTTTTGTTGTTGTTGTACCAGGGATCAAACTCACGACCACATGCTTGCAAGGCAGGCACTTATGCTGCTGAGCTAAATCCCTGGCCCTCAGTTTCCTCTTCTAAAAGGGAGCTAGTAAAAATAAATAAATAAAATAAAAATAAAAAGGGAGATAGTACCTACAATGTCTGCCACTCTAAAACACATGTTCAGCAAACCAACCTATGTGAAGCTTCTTGAACAGCATGGCACACAGAATGCACTCACTCACAATCAGTCATCTATTTTCATGGCCATTGTTGCTATTAACTCCATCAGGCAGGGGCTGGGGATTTAGCTCAGCGGCATACGTGCCTACCTTGCAAGCAGGCAGTCATTGAGTTCGATCCCCTGTACCGATAAAAAGGAAAAAGACAAAAAGAAAAAAAAAAAAAAGAAAGAAAGAAAGAGGAACTCCATCAGGCAAACCCTCTAAATGCTAGCAGAACTACAAGGAATGAACCTCTAATGGAGGAAAACCCTAGAGCATGTCCACTGCCTCAATGACTCAAGGGACCTTTCTCTCCAGGAACCATGACCCATGGAAGTCAGGCAGCTTGAAAGCCACTGCTGCAGACCAGAGGTCACCGTTTGTCCCCTTGACCATAATATCACTAGCCCAGTCAGCTGGATCAATCAGGGACTTCAGGCCAGCCTTTCTGGAAATCCAGACCCAAGGCAAAGGTGACGGCAAGCCAAGGTCACAAGCTGGCCTGGGGAGCAAGGGCACTGACCACACATATGGAGGGTTGGCTGTTTCCAGCACCCACCAAATGATCACAATGAGAAACCAGATCTGTGGGTAATCTGACTGCCCCCAACCCTTCAAAACAGCCTTCCTCCAGGGCTGGGCTGGGCCTAGCCGGGGGCACCCTCCTGAAAGTCCCCTTGGCTTATACAGAGTGGAACAGCTGTGAAAACAGCTCTAGGCCTCACCTTCAGGCCAACTGTTATCACTCAACTGGTAGGGAGCAGTAAACAGACTGGCTGTAACTAGGAGGCACAAACAGCCCCTGGCCCAGGATGAGTTTGCTTGAAGTAGTCTGTGTTGGTGCCCAGACCCAGCAAGGTCAGGGTGGGGCTTTAACTCTTGCTGCTTCTCTGGGAAGAGTGGACAAGGTCGACCAGCAGTCCAATTCAAAGTCGTAATTACTCCAGCACCCCAGCGCCAGCCTTTGCTAAGCCCCAAGAAGATTCCAAATGAGAAACGAGGTCTCAGAATCCTGATAAGCACAGCTGCCCTTCCAAACACTCTTTCCTCCAAAGTCAGCCTTTAGGGCCAGGGGCACAGCTTCTCAATTCCTAGCCCAGTACCCCCTCCTCTTTCCTAACAGGATGCCTAAGGCTCAGAAAATTTCAGTGATTTCTAAGACCTATCTCCTCTAACCCCGGAAGAAAAAACTTGACAAAGGATGTCCTACACACCTTAAATAATCTGAGAAGATTCTGGAGTCGCGAGCAGACGACTCCAGGGTTCCAAGCACAGCAGTAAACATTCAGCTCTCCCCAAAGTTATTAAAGTTCAACAAAGGGAGTTTCGTATAAACGCCCACTCCTACATATTAAATACAGGAAGCTGGAGCCCCTCCTCACCGCTCGGCATCCCGGTCCTCTCAAAGTACGCCCCTAAACACCCACCTGAGCCTCTCTGGCCCCCTGCGCCCTGTCCCTCAAGTGATTATAAACATCACTGTCCTCCCGCCCTGACACAGCTCTCCTCTGCGTTCTCGGGATGGCTCCCCCGTGCCTCGGTGGAATAGCCCAAGCAGCCCCATCCCAGCCACGTTTGACACAGGCCCCTCTTCACAAGCCCCCACCCCTCTATAGAAATAGACTATAGAACTCCTTCCCGAAACTCCCAGTATGGGACGGTCCTCTCCCTTTGAAACAGTGAGCCCTTGGTACTTTAGTACTTGAAACCAAGGCACGATCTCCTCTACACCCCTCCGGCGCGGGCCACAGCCCCT